ATGTATGTATTACATATGTCCTTATTGCTTTATATTTGAGTTGATATCTTATGAGTTGAGCAGAGCCCAGGTAATTTCATCCTTACTCCATTTCAAGCTTTATAGTTGTGCTTAGTATTCCAACTCACATACTCATACATTCAGAGTACTAATATTAGTTGGCCAGCATAGTTTAATAATGCAGACGCAAGTAACCAGGATTAACACGCAATGTTTCGTCGATTCATTTTGCGCTCCAGAGTCAGTGGTGAGCCTTCTTGCATCTTGGAGGAGATATTTTTCATTTGATTTACTAGTATAGTTTTTAGGATGTTATGGGGTCTGTCCCAAAATCAATCTTTGTCAGTTAGAGGCTTCGTAGACGGTTAATTGTTTGGTTTGGAGTCTATTTTACTTGCTGAGACTTAAGGGAAATTTTGGCCAGATTATTTATATGAAGTATTCCCTTTGAACATGTTTTATTCTTATTTAAGGTGAGTGTAGTCTTCTGCTGAGTTTAGTAAGCCAGGACAAGGGTCCGTTTGGGGGCCAATAATGGTCAAAAAGTGTCGACCACGTCCAGGGTGTAGGCTCCGGGCGTGACATTTTTGAATGAAATATTACAATTAAAATCCTCCGCTAATAAATTTGCGGTCCCTACTTAGTCTAATTAATTGATCCACTTCTAAAAGAAAAGGACTACAAGTATTTTTTTCAGTTTAGAAATAAATCATTTTTTATTTCTATTAGTTTAAAAGAGAAAAGCTTGCTTATTTTCTTAAAGAAGGGAGTTCTTTGTTTCCACAGAATATGAAAGAAGTAAATAATAGTGTTCAATAGTTACTAGAGATTACTGATGGTGTTTATTGGTTGTTGATTACCCTTCATGTTTAATGACGGTCTAAATTCATTTAATAGTCTTTAGTGGTTGTTGATAACTACTGATCATGGTTGTTATTTTTCTTTTCAACTTTTATTATTTTTCGTTTGCTAATCTGAATAGAGGAGATAACATGCTTAAGAAATTTATTATTGATGGTATTTTGGTATTTTATGTGGTAAAAAATTACTTTTATTTTTTGTGTTCTTTATGTTGGAAAAAGGGAGAAGAAAAAGAGAATTATTTATGATAGGAGAAAATAGATCTAGGATGAATTACTATTACTCTAATACGTTTGAATATATTTTTTGTAGAATGTTTATCTTCGATAAGTAAGATTATTTTTATTTTCTTCCCAAGTACACTGAAGCATTGAACTACTTTTGTTTTCTTTTCAGTTTGAAACGTTCTTTTATGCATATAGGTTAAGATCTGCACTTTCATTTTTATTTGTTTTTCCCTATATTCTTTGTTTTATATAACTATGAGAATAATTAAATGAACATATGTTGTCTCCTAACAATAATTGAATATTAGTTTAGTTTCTCATTGAGATTCAATGCGTTTTAAGGAAAATTTGAATATGATGAATACTCGGAGAATCATTGCTGACAAATAGAATGATTTTTTTTTGGGGGGGGGGGGGGAATCATGTTTTATCCTTATTTCCAATTGATTGTTATTTTTAATATAGGAAAAACATATGAAAAATAATTTCACATACTTGAAAAATAATTTTGAGAACATATTTTAAACGTGTGGGTGGGGGGGGGGGTTCTTTACCTGTTATAAAGAATAAGTTACACTTACTACCTAATTTAAATTTGAAAGTACAAGATATGAAATTTAAAAGATTATATATTTCTTTAATAGTGTATGATATGACTTGTATAAAACCACAAAGTTATATTACACGTTCAAAAGAATTATACTCTTTTTGATGAAAAAATGTCACTTAAAAGATTAAGATTTTTCATGAAAGTATGTCTATTAAAATATTTTTTATAGACATGAACACTACTTAAAAGTTATTTTTTTTTGGTAACTTCATATTTCTTTCATAACCAAAAACTGTAACTTTACTAAATAAGTAGTATTAGACAAACTATTCACTCATAATACCAACAAATCTTATTGCGTTGTAACAATATCATTTGGGTGGATTCTGCCCTTATTGCATCGATGAGTCTATGGTCATGGGTAATTCTATAGAATATTAAATTTTATGGAATGATTCTTCTAAAAAAACATATAACAAGGTATTGACTCAGAGCGCCATGACCCCATGGAGACCCCATTCTTTCACTATCTCTTCATACTAGTTCCTATGTGATGTACCTATCATTTCTAGTTGATTCCAATACTCTAAAGTACATCTAAACATTATGAAATCATTCAGAAACATTAGATCATGATCCTTGAATCCATAATTCAATTCAAGGAAAATTAAGATCAAAGTCAAGGAAGTTAATGGTTAAGTTTAAAAGTTAAGAAGCAAGCCAAAATAAGTTTTTAAAGTTTTCAAAGAGTTTTAAACAATCATTTTACTTTGTTTTAAGGTTCAAATTACAAGTCAAAAAAAGAGAGTAAAGACTTGAGTTAAATTCCCAAAGCTATGAGGGAACTAGGTATTCCCTAAGAATTAAAGTTTCAAGTTAAGTAAAGAGCAAGAGTTGAGTTCATCTCTCTATGTTTTAAGGGGGACTAAGTATTCCCTTAAGGGTTGATAAATGTTTTACATTTAAGTGAAAAACAAAATTAAGAAGTTCCAAAGGAGTTTTGAACTAAAGAGGGGAACATTGATTCCAAAAGGAGATTTACAGCTAAAGGGTTCAGTAAATTATATCAACCAAAAGGAAAGTAGTTTTATAAAAAAAACGTGAGCTAAAACACATTTTTGGAATATTATTGAGTGCCGATGTGGGATGAGAGTTCAGATAGCTCAAGTCCCCATGTAAACCATGTAGTCATCATAGTATTAATGTGTTATGCTTTTTTTATGATCACGTCAGTTAGCTAGTGGATCCACTAGGTATAGGATGTCCTATATGACGACAAAGTATGGACAGTGCTGTCAGCGTGGGCAAGACGATGTATCACCGCTTAGGCTCATAAAGAATAAGTTACACTTACTATCTAATTTAAATTTGAAAGTACAAGATATGAAATTGAAAAGATTATATGAGTCTTTCTTTAATAGTATATGATATGACTAGTATAAAATCACAAAGTTATATTATACGTTCAAAGGAATTGGTACTCTTTGATGAAAAAATGTCACTAAAAAGATTAAGATTTTTCATGAAAATATATGTATATTATAATAATTTTTTATATATATACTTGAACACTAGTTAAAAGTGTTTTTTTTGGTAACTTCATATTTCATTCATAACCAAAACTGCAACTTTAGTAAATAAAGTAGTATTGGAGAAACTATTCACTCATAATACCAACAAATCTACTAACAAATCTTATTGTGTTTTAACAATATCATTTGGGTGATAAGCCCCTCATTGGATCAATGAGTCTATGGTCATGGGTAATCTATAGCAAAATTGAATTTTATAGAAAGATCCTTCTAAAAAGAACATATGATAAGGTATTGACTCTAAAAATATGTGTGTATTTCATAAAGTTATAAAATGTAAAGAACAAAATATATATTGATAAAATTTACATGACAAATGGTCTTTTAAAACTTAGTATTTCTATTTGTTATTACTTTCTCGAATGAAACAACTTTTGACATAAATCTTTGGAACATGTCAATTACAAAACATTGAAAAAAATTGATCAACATAGAAGTTTTAACCAACTTTTACTAGAATAAATCAAAATGTCAAGTATGTGTTGAATCGATGTATGTTAAGCATATGTATAATTACTTTGAAAGGAATTTTAATTCCTTAATTTGATTCACACTGACATTTATGATATGAAGTCAACACCATCACTTAGTTGGAAAAAGCATTCATAAAGTTTATTGGCAATTGCACTAAATATCGTTATGTTTATTTGCTAAATGGTGAGAATGAAACAATTCAAACATATAGGCAACATAAAATTGAAGTTGAAAATAAGTTGGGTAACAAGATTACCATGGTTAGAAGTGGTATATGTGATGAATATGATTCTTCTTTTGCAGAAATATATCTGGAAAATTGAATCATCCTTAAAATTATTCCACATACTCACCTCAATCTAAAGAAATTGTTAACACACACAAAAAAAAAAACGGAACATTGAATGAAATATTAAATGTCCTACTTATATATTAATATTTACCATAAAATATGTGGGGGTGCAATCTTTATAGCAAAAGAGAACAACAAAAGGTTTGTTTGTTAAGAATGAGAGAATATTTTTTGTTTGATAGTAAAACGAGTAACAAATAAAAAAATTTGTTTGGTAAGAAAGGGAGCACCAAAAAGTCGTTTTTGTTCAGCCTTTGTTGTAGCATGATAGATAAGTTTTTGTCGTCCCTTAAAGTAAATACAAGAATTAAATCTTGAAAGATAGTGACTGGCAATTTCCAATACAGTCTGTTCCATATGAGATATGAAAATGAGGGAACTATTCCCAAATGAGTCAAAATAAGACCTGAGACTGTGGATTGTATATTCATTGGATATGCTAGAAATAGTAAAGAATGTTGATTTATGGTTCATAAGTCTGAACTATCGGACAATTGTTTTATCGAAAAAAGTATTTTTATATAAGTTTTCATTTTTTTTAAAGTCGCTACTTAATTTATAAGAAAAAAATCAAGAAAACTCAAGTTTTCAAAAGTCTTAACAGAAAAATCATTTGAAAACATTCAGTGACGTTCGAGAATTCACATTTATATTTTAGGAAGGTGTTATCCGTTAATACGGTTTTCCACCAACTAACTTATTTGAAAAAAAAAATTCTAACTTAAATTATGAGATGAAAATTATTTGAAATTGTTTGATAAGGAAATGTTAATTTACTATCTTAGTGAAAATGGCTCGTAATGTTTTATTATTTTTGAGTTCAATTGAAATCGATTGATTTAGTTTGAACAGTTAAATATGACAACATCTTGAGGGGATTGAAGTTTTCGACTCTAAAACTAACAAAAATAACCACAAGCAAATAGTGATAAAGAGAGAGAGAGTCGGTCTAAATTCGGATTCCGTCCGCCTGGACCTGTATTTGAACCCATTTTGTTTTTGGATCTTAGACCCAATTGGTTTGTACCTGTACTAAGCTAATCAACATAATAATTATTTCTTTGAGACTAAGACCCAAAAATTTTCACTTGTCCTAGATCTAGCAAAATAATAATAAGGGAAGTTTACAAGATTTAGGCATATAAATAACAAAATACAAATTCTTAAGAAATATGCATTTGAGCATTTTAGCCCAATCTCTTCGACTCTCTTCAATTCGCTTCGAATCCTTCAACTTCGAAACCTGTACGTCAATTTCGAGACTCGACTCGAGGAACATGAGGTTCTGGGGCCTTCATGGCCCTTTGGAAATGCGGAGGTAGAGTCCATGGGGACTCAAAAGGAATCAACATGCAAACAAAGTAAACAAAATGAGTTGATACATAAATCAACTCAAGATAACAATAGAAAAATACAATGTATTTTTTAGCTTTCTTTGCTTAAGATGTTCTATGTATTTCGCTCAAAATAAACTTCCTCCAAAATCTCCAACCCAAAATTTCCAGCAAACCTTTTTTCTCCCAAATCTTTTTTCTTTTTTTTCTACTGCTTTTCCGCCTAAAAAAAAATAAATTCAACTAAAGCTTTCAACAAAAATTTTCAACTCCAGAACTTTTGCCTTTTTCCTCAAAAAAAAAATCCCTTAAAAAAGAAGAAGAGGGGCTTAAATAGAGGAAATTCGGGTTCGGTTTTAGGGGAAATCGGCTTACAGTTTTGGAGATACCAAACTCGAAATTCAAAATCCCTTTTTTAAGGATAAGGTTGAGAAGTTGCAATTTGTACTACTTACCACGGATGGATGAAGAGAGTTGTTCGAGTTCTCAAGAAGGACGATCGATCATCGAGATTTTGACATCTGGCCGTGTCCTGTGCTGTTCTCGTACGATAAGAGAGATGAGAGGGACGCGTGAGCTGGACTCAGGTCGCGATTTTGGTTCGCTGGGCTGGGCGAATTCCTGGGTTTCCCGTTTCTTCGCTGGACTGCTCGAGGAAGAAGAGGAAGAATGCTTGGGGTCGGTTTACTGGGACTAATATTGTTTTGTTGGATGAGTTTTCGTATTGGGAATGGTCTTGGTTTAATGAAATTGTAATTAAGAAATGGAAAATTGTATATAATAGCAAATTAATAATTTAAAATGAATGGAATAACTACGGTTTGATTTAATTGTATTTAATTTTTTTCTTTTTCGTTTTATACAATTCGATTCAATTGTATAATCCTTGTCAAGTCTCTTTTGTCTTTCTCTCTTTCTCATTTTATACAAATTCAAATCGTATATAATCGATACACTTATAATAACACAATTCGTTGTATACACTTCGTTTTTATATAGCTTTGTGTCCAAGTGTCTTTCTCTTTCTTGTTTTATACACTTTGTTTTATACAATTTGCTTCAACTATATATGTATAGCAAATTGTACAGTTTCTATGTTTGTTATGGAGCACAATTATACAAATTTTGTTATAGCATACAAATATAAATTTTTTATTTAATATATGTGAAAGTTGCCCTTAAGAACAAGGATCTGCTAATAAGAGTGAAAAATGGGCCTGGGAATAGAGGAAAATAAAATTGGTGACCCAGGAAAATTGGGTCCAAGTTAATTGCAATTAGTCCATTTGATTTAAGAATTTAGTCAAATCGAGTTTAATTAGTGATTCGGCTAAATATTAAATAAAATAAATTAATGTAAATTAATTAATGAGCTTCTAATCTTAATGAAATTGTTATAAACAATTTGTATTATAGTGAATGTCTAATAATGTGGAGTCATTGTAGGATATAATTAGGAATTCTACTTGGGGCCCAAGTAAGGTTTTCTCTATAACTAAAGGGTTTTCCTTCATTGTAAAGAAGATTGGTGAAAGATCTATGAATCCTGAATATACTTCAAGAGAAATAAGAAATCTTTTCTCTTCTCCCTACTTTCTTCTTCTTCTAAATTTATGTAGTTTCATAACACGTTATCAGCACGATTGTTCTATTCTTAGAGAATTATGAAGAAGACGGAAAAAGTGCAAAAGAGATATTGCATAAATTATGCAATAAGATTCTTATATCTTCAAGGTATGATTTATCTTTATGTTATAATTATTTATGTGACAGATCTGGAGGTACCATCTAAAGTAAGTATTTAAGGAGACATGTCGACTTTCTATATGTTTAATTTTAATCGACTCGAAAAAGAATTCCTTAATTTATTTTAATAATTAAATAAGCACAATTTAGTGAAAGATATGTTTTCAACCTTTATATGAGGTATGTGATCTATTAAGCTATATTTATTAACTACTAATGTTGATTATAAGAAATCAATAATCTCAATTCTGTGTGTAATTATAATGTACGATCATATTAATGATCATCAAAAGTGATAAGATCAAATTATTTTGAAGGCTTGAGGTTGAACCTCATTGTGGGTAAGACGATAAATTTAAGTTTTATTGCATCAAAAGAATAAGACGATGAATTTATGTCTAATCGCACAAAGAGGGTAAGACGTTAGGTTAAACTCCTGATGCACTATGATGATAAGATATTGAGTTCAAAACCCGTCGATTTATGACCTAAAACACTTTTATATGGATAAGACATTGAATTTGAGTCTTAATACACCATATTGATGATATAATAATGACTAAAGAAAAACTAATGTGTTTTAGATGAAGAGTCATGAAATTTACTGAATTTACTCCATTACAAAAGTGAATGTTGTATTAGTGCATAATATGTCTTAAAGAAGACAAGTGATTGAATAATGCACATAAATATGGAATAAGGTACTAGCTATCATAATTTGATAAGCTCACATGTTTGTGTTCCATTCATGAAGAATGAGAACTTCTGCTAAATGCTAAAATATGGATCCATTCTCTAAAGGGAACAATGTGTAAGCCACTATGCTAGGCATGAGAAAGATTGCGACCTTGATCAATGGTCAATGATGTGGTATCACCATGAATGTCTCTAAGAAGACATGTATTGTAGAAAAGTTTCATGTTTTATCTTCGAGCTTGTATTGGACAAGAATTAATGTAATTGAGGCACATTCTATGATATATAAGAAGTTTACTAATTCCAATACTTTCTTAGTTTGACACGATTGTCTGGGACATCGTTAGTCTATAATGTTTAGACGAATTATGAAAAATTAAAATGGACTTTCATGGAAAAAACTAAAAATTCTTTTAAATGGTGAATTTTCTTATACTACTTGTTAGCAAGGCAATCTAATTGTGAGAACACCATAAATGAAAGTTGAGATTGAATTTTCTGCGTTCTAGGAACGTATACAGATATTTGTGGACCTAGTCATCTACTTAGTGAATTGTTTAGATATTTAATGGTCCTAATAAATGTTTCTTCTATGTGATCTCATGTGTGCCTATTATTATCTCGCAACTTGATGTTTGCAAAAATGTTGGCACAAATAATATGTTACATGCATAATTTTCTTTAGATTAATTCATTCAATGATGGGATCACGACTCACCTAAAGGATAAAGTAATTGAGAAGAAATAAATCTGAAAATTACGTTTGGAGTAATAAAATTGAAATTTACTCATATAATAGTAAATCGGAAATTTACTAAAGCAAAAGACACATGACGCAGTAAACTTGGAGTTTACGAGTACTAATAATTTTATTAGTTGGCACGAATAATTTGTTCATCTCAAAGATGTGCATACTGGGTAATGGACATACATTGAAAAACTAAAATATTCTTCAAGAATTCTGTACGTTGCTTGTTCTCGTGATAAAGTTGATTGGATCAACTAAAGTTGGTACTAAATCCCTAAATTCTGAAAGGTATAAAAGGTGAATATGGTCCCATTCACCTATCATGTGATATGATAAAAAGATGCATCAATAAGATAATCACATGTGCGTTTGTTGTCAACTTGCACTTTGACATTCGCAAATTTGTTTGTGCAAGATAATTGAGCTAAAAGCACAACTTTCAGAATATGAAATCAAGATAATTCATCTTGATAATATTGATAAATATATAAGATGGTGTGACATTAAATGTCTCATGTAGTGAATCATTGCTTCTGAAAATAAAGCTTCATATGTTGATATGAAATACGATATTCCATACAAAAGTAATTGTACGCATCAGACCGATAAATTATGATCAAGTTTTCTTTCAATTGATTTATGGTCGGGGACCAAATGTTTTCATCTGATTATTTTGATATATGGTATATAATCAATGAATATAAAATTATTTACAAAGATAGATTCTCCAAAAGATTGAGATATATGTTAGTTTGTCTAACATAGAGGGGGAGATTAGAAGCAACACAAAAGTTGTAAATACTCCTATTCAATGTCCCTTAAGGATAGAGTCTATGACATGCATGAAGCATGATAGACTAATCAATTCTAAATAAAATAATCCTTGAAAAAGGGGGAGGATCAAAAAATCAAAATGATCATAATAAGGAGACAATGTGCTCTTGGAGATCCTACGACATAACACTTTATGAAACCTCATGAGGAGTAGCTACCTAAAAATAATGAAGTGATGAGTTCTCAAAAGTTTTATCATATTGTGAATCGATACAAAAACTGTATATCGTTGACGATATCTTTGATACAATAGCGCGCAATATTGTAAAAGATTATGAGGATATGAATTCTACATCTATTAAAGCATGCTTGTGTAGAAATAATTATCAAGTGAAAAGTGGAATGATGCATCTTGGTAAGCGTAAAGCTTATTTGACTTGCAATCTAGGCACTAGAAGATGTCATACATCTAATATTGAATGTTGTTACTTGACAAAATTGATATGAAAATATCCAATGGGTTCAAAATCTAAATCATATACAAGTTTTTAGAAAACTTGTTTATCATCCTCATAAGGATTAAATAGATTCAAAATACAAGTATTATTATGCAAGTTGATGACTAGAATTGAAACTCTTGGCAATAGATTATTTGCTTAAAGAAGTTGAAGTAAGGAACTTGTAGAAATCCTTGACACTGAAGGGAAGATTTATAAAAGCAGATAGAAGAAAACATATTTCGTCAAGGTTTTTCTACACTCATAAACTCTCAAGAATGGTGATATCAACATGCTAGACGTCTGTTCAAGTAATATCATTGTTGATTTATTCACCAAATCTCTATCAACTACAACTTTCAAAAGATGGTGCACAAGCTTAGAAAACGAAGATTCTAGTATCTGAATTGATGTTGTCATTAGGGAGAGTTAATACGCGATGTACTTTTTTTTCCTCACAAGGTTTTGTCCCACTGGGTTTTCCTTGTACGGTTTTTTATTAGACACCTATAATGCGTATTTTTAGATATGTGTACTCTTTTTCCTTCACTAGGTTTTTTTCCCATTGGGTTTTATCTAGTAAGGTTTTAACGAGGCACATAATCTACCGACATTCAAGGGGGAGTGTTATAAACAATTTGTATTATAGTGAATGTCTAATTATGTGGAGTCCTTGTAGGATATAGTTAGGAATTCTACTTGGGGCCCAAGTAAGGTTTTCCCTATAAATAAAGGGTTTTCCTTCATTGTAAAGAAGATTGGTGAAAGATCTATGAATCCTGATTATACTTCAAGAGAAATAAGAAGTCTTTTCTCTTCTCCCTACTTTCTTCTTCTTCTAAATTTATATAGTTTCATAACAGAAATAAAATAATAAATTCAATTATAAACCAATCAATTAAAAATATATATAAATTATTATATAAATAAACTAATTAACCAAATGTTTTATTAAAACAAAATTTTTGAGACGATTTTCGAATAATCATAAAATATACCAACCATAAACATATTTATGTGAAACAAATATATTATATAAAAATTATAAAAACAATTAAAAATTAGTTAAAGTAACTGGCAAACATTATTTATTAACTTTTTTTTTGAAATTTTATAAAATTAGTTATTTTAAATAGTTTTATAATTTAAGAAGCTCAATGATTAATATATATTGTTGAGGTTCAAAATTCGGTGTCAACAATAGTCAAGTGAAGGGTCTAAACAACCTTGGAAAGAACCAAAGGTGGATGTACTTAATAAAGAGATTCAGAGGTGTTGTAAATGTCAATTGACAAATTACTTCCTTCAAGATTGATTTTGTAACATTTTTTCTCGAAAATGAGTCTGCTCAATTTAAAGAAGTTATGT